AGCCATTTAGTGTGTCTGTCTTAGTTCTCTCATCTGCAAAAAGGAGATAATATATCTCCTCGTGGGCTTGTTCCAGGAATGCAGTGAAACAATTCTTTAATTCTTAAGACAGTGAGTAACAAAAAATTCAATTGCGATTCCTCATGTCTGTTTGTATTGAGATATCTGTGAGATATATGTGGATATCAAGTGAAGTTGAGAAATTACAAAGGAAACTAGTAATTCAGTGATGAAACTCTAGAACTCCTCAACTCTTAAGAACTATAAAAATATAAAGAGAGGAAAAAGAGAGGATCCTTTTATAAAGAGATTTATTTAGAAAGAGACAAAGGCCATGGCTGTTCTAAGTACCTAAAATTCCCCTTGGAGTGGATGGATAGATGTGTTGTGTGGTCCCATTATCACTTAACCCAGTGTTTTTTAGCTTTCAAGTGAGAAAGAACTTCAGTGGGACCACATTGAGACCTGAATATTGTGTTTGGGAGTGGAGATATTGAAGAAGAGGATCTTTCTTCTAATTCGGTAGCCAGGAGAACTGAAAAAATAAGGATGAGCTCAGTGCCTGGGTAGCAGAGAAAAGGGAGTGCTTCTGGCTTAAGGGCAGCCTGCAGAACCTGTGCTTTTGAGGGCAAAGGATGAGAAGGTGTTCTTGAGTACTCAAGAGAGGGAAAGTTATCCGGTACTAGTACTGTTAGGTGGAGCTGGCAGAGAATGGTAGTTAGCCCCAGCAGCTAAAGTTGGAGGGGCCCATCACCTTTGTTAGAGGAATCACGCACAATCACCCAACACAGAGATGCATCAGTTGTTCCAGAGAAAAGGTCCACCCAGCCTCTGAATTTGGAAGAATCAAGAAAATGTTCCACAAAGAAATGTTCACTTTGGGCTGGGGATTTAGCTCAGTGGTTCCGCTGCCTGCGTCGCAAGCACAAGGTCCCGAGTTCAATCCCTGGTACCAAAAAAAAAGAGAAAGAAATGGTCACTTTGTCAAAGTTTTTCAAGCACAGAGGGATATTCCAGGAAAACCTTTTTGTTCCTTATTTTGTACCTTCTTCTCTGCCATTGTTTGGGTTTCAAAGGGTCAGAACTAGCCAGCAACATGGTTGCTTGTATTAGTTAAGGCTCTTGAGAGAAAAATAAAAAATCTAATATGTGTATATTTAGAGACACAGGTGGGCATACAGGGAGACAGATAGACAGATGGACAGAGATGGTCATTTATATTAAGGATTTGGCTCACATGATCACAGTGGCTGGCAAGTCCAAAATCTGCAGGGTAGGCTGGCAGGCTGAAGACACAGGGAAGCCTTGGAATTTGAGTCCTCCAAAAAACAGTTTGCTGACAGAATTCCAGAGGTGGCGGGCTGGGAGGGTATGGGGGGCATGGGTTAGTTTTTGTTCTCTTAAGAGTTTTAACAGATTGGATATGATTCACCATGTTATGGGGAGCAACATGCCTTAAAGTCTAGTGATTTAAATGCTAATCATATCTGAAGATACTTTCACAGAAACATCCACAGTCATGTTTGGCTAAATGTCTGGGCCACCAAGTTGACTTGTACATTTAACCAACATAGTTGAGGTGCAAGGAAAAGTATGAGAGTCAATGCATGAAAGAATAAAACCAGACACACTGCTTTCCTGTTTTGGGGGTTTTTTTAAGAACAAAACAGGTATATTTCTACTGGACTGCCTGATACAGAAGATAGTGTGGTGTGGTGGATGGATAGTATGAATGACAGATAATACAAATATATTTTATTTGAAATAAACAAAAAATGCTAACGCAGCTTTCACTTAGAAACAAGCTCTTGACTGACTGTTATTACTGAGCAAAACAAAGCTGAAGCACAAACAGCCTTCCTTTTTAACATGTATCTGGAGACAGGTAGGAAGACACTACTTGTTTTTTTAAAAAACGGACCTCCCTTCAGGGCCTGGTCATAGAAGTGTAAACAATGTAAATGAATCCACCATTATCAGCTGTCCTATTGTACCTCTGTCACCTGTGTGTTCTGAGATCACACATTTACCTGCCACTACACCTGGGAAGGGTTTCCATATCACAGTTACTTTTGAGTTCTCAGTAGGCAGGACCAAGGAAGAGTAATTTGGAACAAATTTTACATCCTATTTAGAAAACTCTAGTATTCACAGTAGAGAGGTACTGCCTCAAAGTTACACTTTTCACTTTGGTTTGATTTTAGCTTTGTGATTTATAGAGCTGTTTGACTCATTTGCTTATAGTACAATCCTGCCACAAAGTATTAAAGGACAAGATATCTGTGATTCCTTCAACACTGCATTCTTCAAGTTTAACTACATCCACAGTATGTCAGCAGTTCTAGAAAAACAAACAAACAAACAAAAAAACAAAACAGAAAAAAAATGTAAATGAGTAAAATTCTTCTAAAAATGCAGGTGTCAATACCTACAATAGGGAAGACCACGAGATAACCCCCTCCTCTCCAAAAAAGCAAACATGTTCATGTGCAGGCAATGTGGTTCAAGTCTTTGGATTTAAAAACAAGTTCCCCCAGAAAAGCTGGCTATCATGGAATTTCCAGAACGCTTATTTTGGCCCTACCAAATGGACCTGAAAGGTCCCAATGCAAAGTTTTAAAAAATAACAGTTATGAGATGCTCCAAATGATGATCAAAGCAGTCAGAGGGAAGAATGAATGTATCTTCCATTGAACTGGTTTGTAGCACAACAGCCTCTTTAGCTGCTGGATCAGTAAAAACCACTGAAGTATCAGAAGTGCCTCGAAGCATAGGGGTAAAAATGTACTGAACATATTATCTCAACAGTAACAGGACTTCATGGCTAGGAAAATTTTCTAAATAGTAAAATGACTCCAAGATACATCTCTCTTTCCAACATAAAACATAGCAGAAGAAAAAAATTACAAGTAGATATAGCAATAACAGAAAATTACAAGGCAGAGAACACAAGGTCAAGACAATGCTATAGGTTCAACAGTATTCCATGAAGCTAGAAAATCTGTTAAGTTTGAAAGCCCTAGCAAAATATCACTTTTGTTTATAAATCACTTGTTTATCATATGACCATGTGTTAAATCATTTTCTTTCCATATACTGAAGAATCCTACAGTCAGCCTTTAAGCATTCTGCCTTTCTTTGCCAATCTTGTAACTGAGTATCTTGTTCCAGTCGATTTTGGTGCAGGTAACTGGAAGCTGCCAGCGCAAGGCCTTGAATGTAGTGTCTAATATTGTTTGAGAGTTTTCACTAATCGCTGTCTATTACTCATTTTCTGCATTCTCTATGATTTTAATAAACTCCTTCGCAGTTTGGACTTCATTCAAAACATTTATTGAATCTTGCACATCTTTATGACTAACCAATTGAACATTACTATCTTCATAATAGTGAACCTGGATCTTGAGCACTCCAACTACCTGAGCTGTAGATGGAGTGATGGTGAACTTCCACTCTGATCTCCAGTGGCCATTCCAGAATTTTTAGGCTGGAACTGGTAGCTTTCAATACACGCAATAATAGTCTGTTGCCCATCTATAGCTTTAGCATATACCTGATCTTCATATCCTTCTGTCTTCACAGGTGTGAACTGATCCATGTTATACCGGGAAAATGCGTGAGCTGCCCCTTCCCTGAGGAGATTGTCATTGTTAAGTAGTAGCCGGACATCATTGAATACTTCATTAAATTCCCCTGGAGGTGCATGAGTGATGAATTTAGCAGCTATGTGTACCTTCTCCTCGTCCGACACCTGATCCTCCAAGTCCGCCATCTTGGGCTGCTCTTGCTTTTCTATTTTGAATGTGCAGACCTAGGAAGGGAGAAGAGAAGTTTTGATGTTAGAAAACACAATGACTGATTTATTACCTGCTGGATAGTCTACTTTTTCATATGAAATTATCTGTATAATTTAAGTTACGAGGAGAAAAAGACATGATCTTACCTGATAGGGAGAAGATATTAACACTTTTAAAAAGTATAATGAAATATCCAAAAGGACAAACAAGTAAGTCTCGTGATGACTACACAAGTATTCAGGCAAAGTTTACCAGTTATAAGTGCCTGGTATATAGTAAACATTCACTAAATATTCACATATATAGAGAAATATGATAATTTACTCTAAATAGAATATAAATTATGCTCCTTTTTCATACATATACTTTCTTGAAGTGATTAGTAGGACAGAAAGAACAACTTTTTGTTTTTTTAAATTAATTAAGTTTATTGTTACATTTTAGATATACACAATGATCATATTCCTCTTAGGGAATTTGTACCTGTACATGATGTATATTGATTCTTCTTTTTTTCCCATTCCCCTTCCCTCCCTTCGAACCCTCTTTCCCTCCTTATTTGCAAAAAATTTGGTTCCATTTTTTCTTCTTTTCTTGTGTTTTTCTTTTCTCTTCCTCCCCCTATCCTTTAGTTCCCCTTCTCATTTGAGCACTTTCTTCCTATTTCACTATATCTATTACTTTTTAGGTATTTACTTCTTTTATACAATTAAATGACAATGGTTGTGTTTTATATTTTAATGGTTCACATAAACATATCCTCTCTATGTTATGATAGAATATATTTTAAAATTTAAAATTTAAATGTACATATGCTACAGCAAATGCAGCTGCCCTTGTTGGTGTTTATCATTGTCTGTAGCCTGAGGTACCATTGACTCTTAGGTAAACACGTAATTAGCTTGCTCAATTGAAGTAGGAAGGTGTACTTAGTGAACTTGCTTACTGTTCTGTATTTTCCTTTTCTCTTATTTCTCTCTTCACAATATACCTGTCTACTCTGCTGCTTTGCATCCTAGAAAATAAAGTTCCATATAGTACTCAAAATCAGGTGATCAGTCTGAGAAATGAAGTAACCTGACCTGATCTTGGTGTTCAAAGGATGCTATTCCTTTGGCTGTGCAAACAGTCTTTTAGGAGAGCTCTCTAATACTGGAGATGAATAGCAATAGAATAAACTTGGTGTCTGGAAATAAAAGGCCTGTGTTAAGACAAATTGGCTTTAATACACAATAAATCCTTCAGGGTATAGCATTAATAGTTTTAATTTGGCCACAGGATTTTTGATAATCTTTTTTTCCTCTTGCTTTTTTTTGTCTATTATTCAATAAATAAGAATAAATGCAATCATAATTCAAAGAACTTAGCACTAGTTATACAACACTTAACCCAAGACTGTAATACAAACCTATATCATACTTTTTAAAATTTCTTCTAAAGCGATAGTCTAAGTTGTTTTTACATCAAAATGACATGAATGTTTGCATTCATGGGGCCTGCCACCCAAAATAAATTAATATAGTGCACCACCACTTAAAAATAGAGTAGACTGGTGGTGACATTGTGCTAAGTCTTACTTTCTTGAACTATGACAAGAAGGAAAATCCTTTGGCAACACATATGTTAAATAATTTGTGGTTACAGTTTAAACAAGATTCACTCTGGAAAATCAAGCAACTTCAGGAGCCCTATTCTCATTCCATCAGATCACTCTGAAAATAAGATATCACCAAGTTTTGGAAAGTGGGATAGAAAGAATATAAGTCTCACCACTGACTTTTCAGTGCTGCATAAATTACTAGGCTTGCCAACCACAAGACAGAATGAATGCCAGAGTCCACAAGGATGAAGGGCATTGCTCTGGTAAATGTTGAGTATCGGAAATTGAAGTGGTGACACTGTGCTCACATGAAGCAGCAGGAAGAAGACGACCCTCAGATTTTCTATTGATTTTAGTGGCTGATACCTTTTGACAACGTGTGGATTTTTGTTAAACCCTTTAAAAGCACTTTTTACTAAAAAAATTACTGTTTCTTTCAACAGTTTCTCTAGGTAATAAATCACAACCTATTGATATTACTTGAATATTTATTAAGAAGTGAAATGGATATTAATAAAAGAGGGTGTAGATTACTAAAAGGAGAAATACAAGAAGGTGAGTAAACTTACATGAAAATAACAAGGGCCGGAGATTTATCTCAGTGTTTCCACCACAAAGACCTGAGTTCAATCCTCAGTACCAAATAAATAAATAAATAAATAAATAAAATGCATTTAGAAGCCAAATGTCAGATATGAAGGGAATCATTACTCAGTCCCATTTCCACCTTGGTGAAAATAATGATATTGCATTATTAATTCTCATTGCCAGTCTTCTCTGTATTTTTTCAGGTCCAGAGATCACTGTTATCACAGTCTAAGATGCTTCCCTCTGCCCTCTTTCAGAGGATGGGCTCCTCATCTCTCTAACAGTCAAAAGGCAGGTTTTATAGATGATCCAAGAGCTGAAAATGGCAAGCTCTCCCTGCCAGCTTGCACAGGGCTCTCCAAGCAGGCTGCTAGGAAAGTCACCACGCCCAGGATCACAATGAGAGGTCCTGTGTAGGTAAGGATATGCTTGCCCATGTGTATTCTGTCTGTCCCTCCCAAAGAAAGAGTCAAGATAGTCACATTCCTCAGCAGAGGACTGAGGAGTAGCAATGGTCGACACATAGAGATCTCCTGGACTTTGGAAAGGAGCAAACCAAGGACACAGCAGCATTTCTAGGCACAGTGATATGATAAGGACAGGGCAGGGCATCTCTATTCTATCTCCATCACCTGGCACATTTCCTTGTGGGAAATACAGGTTAGATTTAGGGTGATTTGTTATAACACCGATTATCTTGTTGCTCTCAAATAGCAAGAGAATATTTACAATTTATAATATGTGATCTATATGAGTCCCTATTCATTTTAATTGGATTCTTTATTAATACAGAGGATGTTGAGCTGGTACTGTAGTTTTGCAGGCTTGTTTCAGCACATGGAACTAAGAGCAATCACTGTGGACACCTTCCTTACAAAGATGATAAATAAATACGGAATGAGACTTTGGGGCCAAATTGGAGTTGGTATCATTTAATTTCTTCTCGTATTTCCAGCCAATTAAATGAATGGATGCCTGTGGTAATTAAACTCACTTTGATAATTAGGCACTAAGGATTCTTAAATTACTGTATGTTAATGAATATTTCCCAAGTATGGCCCCTATATCCTAATGGCTGCCAAATGGAATCTTCCCCCCTTTATGATTAAAATATAAAATTCTTTACAAATTCCAAATAGATACTACAAACCAGAAACAGAGAATTTCATTCTGGTGCTTTCTTTTTCAAGTCTAGAAAGGTCAATGAAATTTAAATATAAAATGAATCTTATTGTAAAGAAAACCTAGTTGAACTTACTCCCTTGGAACTTGGAAAGCCACAGTTAGAAGTGTGCAAGTTAAAGCCATACACGGGGTGAACTGCTGCTCCCCCACAGCTGCCTGAAAATAATGCACTCATAAATGACCACTGTATTTGCTAAGAATTGGGGCACAAGTTAGGTAAAAGGCCCAGTCCATCTGGAGGTATGTTACCCATGCAGAAATATACAGTGGTCCGGCTCTTGTTATTCGGCCAGATGAGCCATAGTGAATGCTCTTATCTGAAATCTGTGCTTTTGATTTTTCTTGGAATTATAAGTGTTATTATAAGTGTTGTTTTACAACACTTTATAATTTGGTCCACAGCCTTACAAAGTGAAATAAGCAAAACAAAACAAACTTAGAACTGACACTTGTTGTAAATGTAAAGACTGAAAGTGATGGATTTATTTCTAGAGAATGTCTTAAATGCAGATATTCCAAGTGTGTGAATATTTTAAATATTTGTATATTTACTTCAAATATTCAACAAATGCCTTTTATAGTCTTTCTTGGAAGGAAAAGGAGAGGTCATGATGGGTAATTAGCTTTTCTTTCTTTTTTTTTTTTGGTACCGGCGGTCAAACTCGGGTCCTTGAGCTTGTGCAGCAGGCGAAACCACTGAGCTAAATCCCCGGCAGCTTTTCTTGAACATATTGCTATGATATGAATGTTTGTGTCTTCTCAAAATTCTTATATTGAAAACCTAATCACCAATATGATGGTAGTAGGTAAGGTCTTTGAAGGATGATTAGATCATAAGGGTGGAGCCCATCTGAAGGAAATTCGTGGACTTATAATAAAACACCTTAAAGATCTGACAGTACTTTGATCTTGGAGTTTCTAGCCTCCAGAACTGTGGGAAATAGGTTTCTGTTTTAATTCACCCAGTTTGTGTTATTTTGTCATAGTAACTTGAATAAACCAAGAAAATTCCATATTTTACAGGTCCTAGCTGACTCTCCACATACCATGATTCCACTACTAAAGAATTCTGGCATATTGATGGGTACAACTCTGCATTTCTACTAAACAAACCATGCAGGGCACTAGAACTAATCCAGTGTATCTTATATTGTACCAATGAATTACGTGCATCACCAAACTCACATACATCCAATCTCTGAGGTCGAGCTGAGGTCTACTAATCCAACACCATTTTGAGCTTCAATTTATCCCATCCATAAAATGTTGATAATAATTGTGCAAAGCATGGAAAACCAAATTTGATAACATGAAAACAGAACATAATACAGCTCCTGGTATGCCACACTCTCATTATATCTTTAAAGTCCTTTCTTGGAAGAATAAGGAATACTCATCTTTGATACATGCTCAGATTTGATATTAAATCATTTTAAGTAGCATTATTCAATACAGATAAAAGGGAATGATGGGTTTTGATGTTTTTAAGTAAGAGTATCTTGCCTTTCTCCATATGGAGATGTCTTTGTTCTAGCCATTTCATCCACACTCCCCCTAGAGGTTAATTTCTTTGAACCTCACATAACACTTGTGCTCAAATCC